GAGAGGGAGTGACTGGCCCAAAGTCACCCAGCTGGCTTTCATGCCTAAGGTGGGACTAGAATGCACAATTCTAGCCTGGTGCCTGAATCACTTGACCAAACTGGCTCTCAACTTTGCTGATGATACAAGACTGGGAGGCTGACAATATATATCTATTATAGAAGTCTAACCAGATTTAAGCAGGAACATACTACACATCACACAGTAAGGCTAATTTAGACATTTGGAATATGGTTTCTAGGAAAAGAATTACGAGACCAATCAAACATAACAAATTAAATGACCTAAACAGAAACTGGCAATAATCTTCAAAGTTTAATGTTAAGTACAATGGTCACGAAAACAAATGGAAGGGGAGAAAACATCCCTAAAAATTATTTCTGTAATTTTTTTTATTCATGCTTTATCAATAGTTGTTTCTTTTTTCTTCCAGTCTCTCTCTTTCTAAATATCTGTTAAAATCTTAAAAAAAAAAAAAGGGGGGGGGGATGGGATACATGTATTATAATGCATATTACACCCTCCCCTCTGTCCTTCTTTTGTTTGGATTTGCACTAAGCCTAGAGCTAAATTATGTCATAGTGGTCCTTTTGTCAATATTGACTCTTGATGAAGGCATGGACAGGTCTGTGCAGTTTTCTTAGTAACATTTTTTAAAGTGGTTTGCTTGCATCTTCTTCCAGGATATTTTTTGACCTCCCAGTCCAGGGCTAAGGGAAAGTGATTGGCCCAAAGTCACCCAACTGGCCTTTCATGCCTAAGGGAGGGCTAGAACTCGGGTCTCCCCAGTGCCATTAACCACTACACCAGACTGGCTCTCTAGGGCTGAATTATACCATCCCATGGTTTAGGGAGGGCATGTGGCCACCTACTAGACTTTGGCACAGGCTGAAAAAGGGCTGGGCAAGTGCTAGGAGGGCTACCATATGGAAACCTCTGGCCCCCAGTGTTAAAAGGGCCCTTCCCAAGAGTGAGGCGGTGCACACAGGCACGCAGGCCCGGTCCGAGCAAAGGCTGGCCAGGGGCAGCGCCAGTTGCTGCTGCTGCTCCCTCCCCCCACCTTCTGTGAAGTTGCCGAGTGAGCAAAGCGGGGAGGCTGAATCATGACCCGGGAGCCAATAAAAACGTTCATCGAGGCAGCAGCCCTGCACTCCTCCGCCGAAGTGGATGAAGTACGGGCAGGAAGAGAGGAAGCAGCGAAGCAGACGCATCGGGCGCGCAGCACCACCACCACCACCACCATGAGGGAGATCGTGCACATCCAGGCTGGTCAGTGTGGAAACCAAATTGGAACCAAGGTATGGGAAGACGGTCCTCGCCTTGTATTGTAAAAGCAATCGGTTCATTATAGTCACGGATGAAATACGTCTGGCAGCCGGCCGCCAGGGTTGGATATGAGCGGGAAATGTCCTGCTGTCCCCGAAAGGTGACCGCGCCTTCTCGCCTCACCGTTTCACCTGCACGCGGTGTCTCTAAAACATGCGGGGAGAAGTCGCCCGTTTCATGATTGTCTCACGCTGTAACCTCGAGAGGGAAAAATTATAAACGAAGCTCTTTCTTACGAGTTCCACTGGGCTGGGGGAAAAGGTTCTTTCGACCGCGGGCGGGCGCGCGCTCCAGGGCGCAGAAAGCTGGAAACCACCAAAACGGGAACTAAATACAGTGGCCGCTTCTCTCCTGTTGACCATAAAAGGCTTCGGAAAAACTGAAACCAGGGGAAAAAATGCTGAGGCGGGGTGGGGGGAGGGGGATAAAGAGATTGAGAAAGGAGAGGAGGAGGAAAACTTCAACTAGGAAGCGGCCCGAGAATCTTAAAAGGATTTCTTTTCCTTTGGAACCCCTCGGTTCGTCTTGCCCCCCAAGCCCGCCCCACCTTTTCCCCGCTGGGTTGTTCCAGGCAGGAGCGGGAGGGGCTCGGAGGAGCCGCTCTCAAACACGCCAGGCATCCAGCAGCTGCTGACCCGCACATGCCTTCCAGGCCGCCTCTGCCCCGCCAGCGATGGGTGGGAGACAGGCAGGCAGCCGCGCGCGCACCCCCCCGGCCGGTGAAGACAGCGCCGCCCTAATTCTCCCCGTCCTTTCTGCTCCTCGTAGTTTTGGGAAGTGATCAGCGACGAGCACGGGATTGACCCAGCCGGAGGCTACGCTGGTGACTCAGCCTTGCAGCTGGAGAGGATCAGCGTCTACTACAATGAATCATCCTGTAAGTGTAGAGTTTGCGGCGCCCCACAATCTATTTGGGGGGGGGGGGGGAGAAAATAGGAAGGAAGCAACGAGGTTACTCATGCGTTTCCTTT